AAGATGAAGAGGTGGAGATTGAGAAGGGAGCACCTGCTCCCAAACCACAACCAGTGGTTAAGGAGCATGTCCCACAGCTTCCCTTCCCCACTCGTATGCACAAGGACAAGCTGGAGCCTAAGTTTGCCAAGTTCATGGCAATGTTGAAGCAAGTCAACATCAGCATGTTGTTCGTGGAGGCACTTTCGAAGATTCCCAAGTATGAGAAATTCATGAAGGATATCCTCACTAACAAGATGAAACTTGGGGATCTATCAACAGTGATGCTGAGCGAGGAGTATTCTGCAATCCTGCAAAACAAGCTGCTGAAAAGCGAAAATACCCAGGGAGTTATACTATCCCTCTTGTTATTGGCAACATGCATGTGGGAAAGTCCTTGGCAGATCTAGGCGCTAGCATTAATGTCATGCCTTATAAACTGTTTAAGAAGCTAGGCCTAGGTGAACCTAGAACCACTAGGATGAGTATTCAGTTAGTTGATCGATCGATTGTGCATCCTAGGGGTATCATAAAGAACTTGCTTGTTAATGTGGGTGCGTTCACATATCCTATTGATTTTGTCATCATGGACATAAATGAAGATGTGGATGTGCCTTTGATTTTACGTATACTATTTCTCGCCACCGCCATGGCGTTGATTGATGTGCATAGTGGCAAGTTAATTTTGCGGGCTGGGGTTGAACAAGCTACATTTTCTATGTCTAACAATGCAAAGCATTTCCATATGCATGATGACTTGGATTACTTTGACATGCTTGCTGATTTTGAAACTGCACTCGCCATCACGAGAGCGGGTACTAACGATGCCCTTGAGCGTTATATTTTGCTAGGTGAGCAGGCATCACAGGAGTTGCAGTTGGAGGAGCGTTTGGCGCGCTAGAGCGTGGCAAGTTCCTAAAGTTCGAGAGCTGTTCAAGCCGATCTCACCCTCGACCCGTATCACCACCTCTCTAGAGGAGCCACTAGAACTGGAGCTGAAGCCCCTCCCTCCTCACTTGGAGTATGCATTTCTCCGGGAGGGGAACAAGCTTCCAGTTATCATCAGCTCCATCCTCACACCTGAGTAGAAGACCAGACTGGTGGCCCTGCTAAAGCAGTATGACCGGGGTATGGCATGGAAGATCACCGATATCCAGGGGATTAGCCCTTACTTCTATTCCCACCGGATTTTAATGGAGGATGGGATCCGGCCGGTGTGAAAGCCCCAGCGGTGATTGACACCGAACATGGAGGCCGCGGTTCTATCAGAGATTAGCAAGTTGATGGACGCGAGAATCATCTTCTCCATTTCTGACAGCGAGTGGATTAGTCCCACCCAGGTAGTGCCTAAGAAGGGTGGGATGACCGTGGACCCAAATAAGAAGAATGAGCTAATACCGATGAGAATGATCATTTTCGCCTCAACAACGCCACCCGGAATGATCATTTTCCTCTACCATTCATTGATCAGATGCTCGAGCGGTTGGCGGGGCACGAGTTCTACTATTTCCTGGATGATATGTCCGGGTATTTTTAGATTACCATTTCACCGGAAGACCAGGCGAAGACCACCTTCACCTGCCCTTTTTAGTATATTTGCTTACCCGAGGATCCCATTCGGGCTTTGCAACGCCCCCGCCACATTCCAGAGGTGCATGCTCGCCATCTTCGACCGAATGGTTGGAGAAATCATGGAGGTGTTCATGGACGAATTTTCGGTTTATGGAGACTCATTCTCTCACTGTCTTCATAACCTAGAACTCGTCTTGAAGAGGTGTCAGGAGACAAACCTGGCGCTGATTTGGGAGAAATATCGTTTCATGGTTCGCGAGGGCATAGTGCTTGGGCATAAGATCTCCAAGATGGGGATCGAGGTGTACAAAGCCAAGATCGAGACGATTAGTAAGCTGCCTCCTCCCAATTTTGTGAAGGGAGTTCACAGTTTCCTGGCCATGCAGGTTTTTATCGGCGTTTCATCAAGGATTTCTCAAAGATCGCCCTTCCACTAACGAAGCTCCTTGAGAAGGATACCCCTTACATTTCACCGACGTGTGCACAACGGCATTCACGACCTTGAAGGAGAAGCTCACCCATGCTCCTATCATGGTCACTCCTGATTGGACATTGCCCTTCGACCTGATGTGCGACGCGAGTGACTTCGCAGTTGGAGTTGTCATGGGGCAGAGGCGTGATCAACATTTCCGACCCATCTATTATGCATCAAAGACCCTCAATGATGCCCAGGAGAATTACACAACCACAGAGAAGGAGTTGTTAGCGGTGGTGTTTGCCTTCGACAAATTTTGCCCTTATCTGGTCTTGTCCCGCGTGGTAGTATACACTGATCACTCCGCCATCATATATCTGATAAGCAAGGTCGATGCCAAGCCTCAGCTTATATGATGGATCTTGTTCCTGAAGGAGTTCGACATCGAGATCCGGGACAAGAAGGGAGTCGAAAATGTTGCCGCTGATCACCTTTCCCGGTTGGACGCACCTCCTGCGGACAACTTCGTGGAGGAGATCAACGACTCCTTTCCAAATGAGCTATTAATGACGATGTGCTTGATGGAGAGTGTCACCCATTGGTTCTCCGATTTTCCAACTATCTTGTTGGCCAGCAGCTGCCCAAGGGGGTGACGACTCACGCGAAGAGAAATTTTTTCTCCGACCTGAAACATTACTTTTGGGATGATTCGTATCTCTTCAGGGTCAGATCCGACGGGGTTATCCATCGATGTGTCATGGACAATGAGATGGAGGGCATTCTATCCCATTGCCATGAAGGACCTACTGGCCGGCACCATGGCGGTAACCACATGATGAGAAATGTACTGCAATCGGGCTTTTACTAGCCCTCACTCTTTAAGGATGCTGACGTCTTCGCACAGGTGCGACCGATGTCAGAGGTCAGGTAACATGTCCTCCCGTGATGAGATGCCCTAGAATGTGTTTATTACTTGTGAAATTTTTTATGTCTGTGGTATCGATTTCATGGGTCCATTTCCTCCATCTTTAGGTAATATGTACATTCTTGTTGCTGTTGATTGCGTCTCTAGGTGGGCTGAAGCGCAGGCTTTGCCCACCAATGATGTTAGACGTGTTTGCCAGTTTCTTAAGCAGTTGTTCTCCCAGTTCAGGATGCCTAGAGCCATCATTAGCGACAGGGGCACACATTTTCAGGGTCAATTTGATCATCTCCTCTCTCGCTATGGCGTCACTCACAAGGTGTCTGTAGCCTACAACCCCCAAACGGGTGGTCAGGCCGAGCTGACGAATCGGGAGTTTAAGCGCATAATTGAGAAAACGGTGGATCAATCTCGCAAGGATTGCTCCACCAAGCTCGATGATGCTCTTTGAGCATATCGTGCTGCCTACAAGACGCCGATCAGTACTTCCCCATATCGGCTCGCCTATGGAAAGGCATGTCATTTGCCCGTCGAGCTAGAGCACAAGGCCTTCTAGGCCCTTAAGCTGCTAAACTTGGATGTGAGCCTTGCAGGTGCTGAACGCAAGATGCAAATGTTGAAGCTGGAGGAATGGTGTTACCACGCCTATGAGAACACAAAGTTGTACAAGGAGCGAACAAAGCGTCTCCGCGACGCTCATTTGCGGGGCCCTAAGTAGTTTCAGGTTGGCGATCAAGTACTTCTCTATAACTCTCGCCTGAAACTCTTAACTGGAAAGCTCCGTTCCAGGTGGTCGGGACCGTTTACGGTCACACAGGTGCTCACGTATGGCACCATCGAGATCACCCACTCACAAACCGAGCCATTTAAAGTCAATGGCCACCGCCTCAAGCTGTATCTGGTAGGCGAGGTCGAGCGCGAGGAGTTGGTGGTTGAACTCGCGGACCATTCGTTCCGCTAGTTGCGTCCAGCTAAAATATTGATGGAAAACAACATTTTAGTACCTACGACTTTTTTTTCCGTTGAATCAGGTGCCCTCATCTTATTAATCAAGCTAGCAAGATGCTAGGAGAAACCAGATACAACGAAAAGGAGTATCACAAAGACACCCCAAAAATCCTGTAAACCGCGCAACTAACCACTACAGTAGGAGAACCGACTACTACTACTTAAACGAAAAGGAGTATACACCTTGTTGCTCCAATGGTCAAAAAATCTCGCTTGATCAGGGTCTGCAAATCCGCTGAGGAATGTGAGAGCCCACCATGTTTTCTTCTGCATCGCTCCTTCCAAATGGAAGCCACCAGGAAGCACCAAACCATCCCTGCAATAGCACCATTTTTCCTTCTGCAGAAAGAACAAGCAGCTTCCACAGTAGCTGGCCAAGATGCACGATACACAGGGAGAGAGCACACACCCTGCACCACTTCTCTAGAATACGAGCACTGAAAAAACAGGTGCTCACGAGTTTCCTGCCCCTGTCTGCATAAAACACAAACATCATCCACGACTTTCCCCCATTTCACCAATTTATCAGAGGTGACAATACCATCAAGCAATATCGTCCATACAAGAAAACTATTCCTAGGAACAAATCCACGCCCCCATACCAATTTGTGTCATTCCACAACAGGCCATTTAGGCCTGATCACCTCCCAAACTGCACTTAATCGAAACCTGGGCATAAGAGTTTGATCCCAAAGAACCACCCCTCCTTGCACAGAGAAGTGTTGCTGCATCACATGTCGCGTTTTCAATATCCTGGCAGGCCCAGGAGCCACTGGAACCAGACTTTATTGTCCAGATGCAACCTTGCTTGACCCCGTAGATTTTGATCCAGGCCACCCAGATAGTTCCACTTTGCATCAGAATCAAACATTACGAGCAGTGCATGCTTGGTTCCAGGAATAGAGCTCTTTCACCCCTAACCATAGCATACGAGCAGTTCCACTTTCTCCAATTTTTATTGATAACCAGCGTGCCCTTCCCATTCTCGTTGCAGAACAGAAGGGTCCGCGCTAAGATGATGAAAAGTCTTCATTTCAATTAGTCCTTGTTCATTAATTGTGATCAACTTATTCAAATGGAAAGTTATTCAAACAAAATATTCTTATTGTTTAGAGCTAATGTTAGCAACATACTTTAAAAAAACAAATATTAGCACACTAACCTTTCCCCGTTTCTTATAGGATGATCCAACCTATCCTACCCTATAAAATCCCAGTTAAATCCAATTATGGCTAAGTTTAAACCCTTAACGACTCCAACAAAATAAATAAATCAGAATATTTACACGTAATCTCCATCCTTGGTCTTGGTCCTCTTGGATCTACTGCTGCTACTTCTCCATGGCATGCTATTCTTTCACTAATACCAATTCCACCCAGTAACAATCTTTCATTATTTTCTTCCACAAGAAATTCTAATTTTTGGAGAAACAGAAAGCTATTCAGTCATCATCAAGGTTGTCTTAATGCTGCAATCTCGTTCATGGAATAAACACGAAGACCACGGAAGAGCCTCTAACCCCAATATTTACTTACAAAATCTATTGAAGAGATTTAGTAATCGTGATTCGAAAGTACCTCACTATCTTGATTTTCAATCATTAATAACCCAACAAAGCTATCATTTCACCTTTCAGAACATTCACTTGTCTCAAAAGAATTGTGCTACTGGTTGGTTACCATGAGCAAATACTTTTTCAGCACTCAGAGCCACGATGGCCCCTTTCAGCATCACCAGCCTCAGCCGCTGTCTTCTCCCTCAAGTCACACTCATCAATGTAGTTTTGTCGAGTATAGCAGCCAAACCCCCAAACCGCCATCAGCAACGCAATCACCTTCACGCCATTCATCTTGTCCCTGAATATAATCACCGCCGAGACAGGAGACACCGCCAGAGCCACCGTGCTTATCACATTCGAGAACAGCGAGGAGACCACAAAGATCAGCCCAACAACGCCGACAGAACAAACCTGCCATGCCACCGCCGTCCAAACCAGCGTCTGCACATAAGACGCACCCCCTTTGCCATATCCTATCATTTCCCCATGCAACGTCCTCCACTCCCCGCTAGCAAAAAGACCCACAGTTGAAACGCACGTGGCCACGAGGGATGTATAGATCTGCATCTCCAACACGGCGGCAAATGTCTCCTTTCGTATGACCTTCTGGAAGGAAAGCTGCATGAGGGAGAGGATAAGCGAGTAGAGGGCTGAAGCACCTAACGTGCAGAGGAAACCCAATGCGTATTTCCACTTGGATTGGGCTGAGGGTTCGTCGGAGCCCTCATTTGCCGCTATGAGGGAAGCAGAGAATGAGAGCATGGCTACAGAGTTGAGGATTAAGGACGTGAATTTCTGGGAGTTGAGGAAGTAGGAGAAGACTGCGTTGAATGCTAACTGGGAAGCACAGATTAAGGAGTAGGTGGAGGCAGAGAGGTAGAGTAGGCCGATTGAATACAGCATGTTGTCCCCAGCTATGACTACCCCAAGGACGAGGTAGATGGAGGCGAGAATTGTGAGGGAAGGTGATGAGGAGGAGGAAGTAGATGGAGACTCATCCTTGGAGGAAGGAAGTAGGAAGAAGGGGATGTAGAGGATTGGGAAGGCAGCAGTCTGAACAAGGGTTGCCATCCATTTGCTATTCCCGCCTTGGTCATAGTAAAACCTGCCGAGGAGGACAGCAGCGCACTGGCCCAGAATGAGGAAGGCGATGTTAACTGATACTAGAAGCCACCACTGCCAGCGCTTGAGTTTAAGGAACGGCTTCTGCTCAACATTGCCACGTTTGGCCAGGATAGGTTCCTGGTTATCTGCACATAGAGACTAAAGGTAAGCGACGATTGATTACAGTTCAGAGAGGGTAATGGAATGCAATGTTGGTTTCTAGCACAGCCGAAATTTGTGCAGGCAACAACTTTTGAAAGCGCAGAGAAATCATTTGACAAGGTGAAGTTTGATGATCCCACTAAGTTTTGCAATCGAGCAAAACAACCCAAATTAGAAGTGGGAGGAAGTATTGAAGCAGAGTGGAGTAAGTGAGGTTTTACTAAAGCTGACAACTTGTAGATGGCGAAAATTGAGATTCCCTCTACAAACCCCCACCACAAAATGATAGATACATACAGCCAGCAAGAGTAATTGTGTTCAGGCAGGGTGTATCTCTGGTATTGAGAGAGGGAAAGAAGGGAACAAGCTTGCTAATCCATTTTCCATAACAGCAGCTTCTTTAACAGCACCCAAAAATGTACATATATTTATGCGACAACCCTTTTCTAGCAGTGAAATGGGCGTCCAAATTTGAAGCCAAAACCGCAGACTACTCTGTGCAATTGAATTGAGGATATGGAATCAAGTGTTGACGCAAAAAAAGAACAAAAACTGCAACTAAGTAACAAATTAATAAACTGGAGAGGCAGCGATTCATCAATCTGATAGGTCTTAGGTGAAGCGGGAGGGATTAAGGAGCGGCACCGGGCGGGGAGGAAAGGAGAGACAGAAGGGTCGGTGTACCTGTCATGTTTGGTGCGGCCGGATGGATGGATGGATGATCGGAGCCGGAAATGAAGAGCTGTGAAAGGAAGATTCTCCGGGGAACAAACACCGAAGCAAACAAACGACGAAGAAGCGGGGTGGAGGTGGACGGCGACTCCTACTCCGACTTGTGCTCTTGTTGACAATAATTATAATATATATATTATCAGAAAAGAGGAGTAGTGGGGGCTGGGCCGGGTTTCAGCTTTCACGGTCACGGGGGCTCGCAACTGCAACCGAATGAATGACGCGGGACTCGGGAGGGCAGTTGAGGAATCCGATCCGATCCCCCACCTCAGTCCCACGCAACCAAGATCTATCCCCCTCCATTTTCATGACTAATGAGTCAGAGTCTCAGAGACCATCGTTTTCCATCCGTTGTCTGGTTTCGGTGCGCTCGCTCCCATCAACACTCCAAAATCCAGATCCTCTATCTGAGTGACCAATGAAAATAATACTATGCGTTTTTAGCCCATTTATTATTTTTTACATTTTGGAAATATTATTATTATCAGACTTGTCTTTCTCTTAAAATTTCCATCCAAACATACGTTCCAACCTTGATTTAGGGCAAAAATGTCCATAATAATTTCACTTATTTAATTTTTTTATAGCTTAATACCCATAATAATTTCAATTTAACGAGACTTAGAGACATAAACAAAAGAGAAAAACTGATATTTCCCCTCTCACTTTGCCGAGGTCGGTTTGTTCCACCACGCTACGACCTTAGTTAACGATTTTTAGATGAAAATTTTTAACAGAAAAATATTTTTTAAATTTTACAAAGTAAATGGGCATGTTTTGTGTATAACCTGATGGCAACATAAACTTTCATAACCAAAACTTTCGTGTTTGTGACAAATATAGCCACTTCTGTCCAATATTTTAAAAGTGTCATTTAACAGACTGTCTAGACTAACGAAAAATATTGATTTAGCGAAGTTGATTAATGAAAAACAAATAAACAAAAATTTAATGAAAAACAAAAAATAATTAAAAGAAAAACTATTTAACAAAAAAAATCTCCAACCCCTCCAGGCTCCCCCTACCCTCCTCCGCCATCCCAATTCTCCACTTTCCTTCCCCAAAAACCTTTCCCCTGTTACTCCTTCCCAATTTCCAAATCGCGATGGAGGAGATTTTTCCGCCCCCCCCCCCCCCCCCCCGACAACCGTGGTCGCATTCAACAAATTTCCAACCCACAGAGAACCCTTTGGCCCGGTACCAACCCCAAACTCTCTTCCATCCTCCTCTACTCATTTCTCTTCCGGGATGACTGGGGAGGTCTCTAGGATAGGTGTTTTTCGACAAATTGAGAACAAATGCGGCGATGACTTCTTCAAAGTCGTTTGAGGATGCTCCATCTGTAGCTGCTTCTGGTTTTTTCTAATAGATGGATTTCTCTACATTTCTTCCTCTTTGAGATGGAGCCAGCCGTAGACGAACCCAGAAGTAGGAGAAGATGGAGCAGCCGCTAGGCGATTTGGGAAGAAGTCATCCCGCGTCAGAATTGTTTTAATTTGCCATCGACCTTTTGAAAACCTCCTATCTATACACCGCCCCAATCGTTAGTGGAAGATAGATTGACACTGGGTTTAGGAATAAGAAGTCGATGACGGGGAGTGGCAGTCTCAAATAGAGCAGTCATAAACGAACCCACAAGCAGAACGACGAACAAATTGATGAACTGAGCAGCTGAACGGCGGATCTCTAATTGGCTTTCGCTCTGACTGAATTGGCCAATCTCGACGCTCCCCATCATTGACAAAGTCGACTTTCGTCCACCAATCACAAAGCAGCGGCGACAAGCAACTTGAGACAAAGCCCTTCGTTGGCAGAGTTCGTTTGAGCAGTTGTTGGTCACGAAGGATCATGGACGACGGTGTTACTAACTCCGTCAACGTATCTAACGAAAATGGCTAGATTTTTCATACAATAGCTACAAAATCTGGCTATAAGTGGCATTTCTCCAAAATTGGCTATTATTATTACAAACGCGAAAGTGTTGGCTATACAGATGTATTTCACCAAAAATAATAGAGTGACATGTTACATAAAATTGTATAGTAGAAGGGCATATTATACTTATAATGCTACAAATAATATAACTTCATAAGCTACTGCCCTTTTTGTTTCTTTCTTATTTGAGACTTTTAGCCCGCTTTTGAGTACATGTATTGTTTTGTGAAATCGTACCAGATGTTATATAAGAAATACATTTTATAGTAAAATCGTAGTTTAACTATGATTAAACCATTTTCTACCACTAAAATCACCTACTCGTATGGGTTCGGTATCTGGAGAGATTAATAATTTCCATGCATAACAATAAAATTGTGTAAGAGCTTATCGACATAAACTTTACAGATGATAGTACATCTGTCAATACTAATGCTTTAGAAACCCTACTATATCGGCCAGATTGAAGAGTTGATATCAGCTATCCTACAAGACTAAAGTTCGGGGAAAATGGTGGAACTAATTGTTGATGTCGGGGTCGTTGACTGCGATCGTTTCCTGCAAGAAAGGACCCACCGACAGACCTCAGCGGGGGCACCCTGTGACGCTCAAGTTATTCTCTAGTACCGGGGATAGAATATTTTGCAAGGTGTATGCAGGAGATGAGACCGGGAGATGAGAGTTACTGATGGCAGTGGGCGCTCTCAGGGTCTTTCCCTTGGCCTCTTGCCTTACCTTCCACTGAACTTGTTACATAGTGTTTACCTGGGGGACAAAGGGAGGAAAGGTGTCCGCCCCAGAGGAGAGAATGGACACTTCACCGAACAAGTGTTGCTGATGTCCTCCTGTGCCCGCCACGTGGTTGTACACTTGTCAACCATTGATTTACCTTATGAGCACACTCTTTCCGCATAGAAGTTGGTTAAGGAGAGTGCAAGCCACATATGCAGGTGGAAGGGCAAGCAATGAATCCAGGTTACTAGAGGTGGGAGTAATTGTAGATCCGGGGGCCGGGAGCAGGGAAAGTTAACGGACCTGAGTGTTGGGAGTCAGGCGGGAGGTGGAGTCTGTGTTTCGAGGGCGATAACGGGCCTGGACCAGAGATGGAGCTCAGGTGCCGGGGGAGGGGGAAATCAAGTCGGGGGGAAATAGTGGACCGGTGAAAACTGGAAGCCGTGTATGTAGAGGGCTCGAGCACTGGGAGCTGAGTGAGAGGTGGAGCCGTGACCGTGAAGCGTGGGCACCCAGGAAAGCAGCCAAAGTTCACGGTCATTAGGACCGTGAACTGGAGCTACAAATAGCGAACTGGCGAGGTTCCACAGAGTTTTGAGAGGTTACTGACGCCGAGTCAGTTCACGGTCGTAAGACCATGAACTAAAGCCATGGACCGGGAACCAGTCAAGTTATGCAGTGGGTTTTGGACTGAGTCACGGTTTCCGCCATTAGTTCACGTCCGCGGACTGGGACCGTGAACTGGGCACGACTGGGTATAAATAGAGAGCTGAAAGGAGGAAGAAGGAAAGCTTTTTCTAGGGTTTTAATTTTCAGAATAAAGAGCGTTTTCTAGTGAGAGATTAGGGTTTCCTCTTCCCATTCTAGAGAGAGATGGTCATTCAAAGGAGGAAGGAGAAGATTGGGCTTGTCCTAAACTAGAGGAGTGCAGATTCTTACCTCTCAAGGGAGATTCAACAAAGGAGGAAAGAAGATTTTCATCTCTTCATTGTTCTTTCTCTCCTTTTTCTTGTTTTCCTTTGCCTAGCTATAAAATAGCATACCTATTTCATTTGGGTGTTGTGAACCCTAGCTTTAAATATGTGATAGATTGTATTAATGGAATGCTTTGTGTGTGGGTTTGTGTTTAATGCAAAGTCTGAGGTATTTCATGATGGTTGGGTTGTGTTCTTCATTTCTCATTATTTTGCCAATTTGACCTAGGTAGAGGGAATTCCGCTTTTTGTTAGGAAACTTTAATAAGCTGGCCAATTGAGTCACCTACCTAGAGAAAATTAGGGCAAACCTCAAACTTCGATTTAGAACTTTAACTTGGGCGTTACTTTGACATCCGAATTAAGTTCTGAGGGATTGGTTCTTGCAACCCTTAGTTTTACCGGTTAAGAGAGCTAGGACTCCTACCTTATTATTACAATCCTTAGCCGAAAGGTTAAGAGAGCTAGACTCCCTAGTTTATTGTAGCAATCTTTAATCTATTGATTGAGAGTGCTAAGGTTCCTAGAGTAATAGTGCATTGCTTTAGCATATGGTGGGCAGGTGCAGTAAAAAATACTATTACCATGGGTATATCAGTTTCCTAAAACCTGAGCATTACTGACAATAGCTGCGATCCTATGGAAAGCAACAAAAGCACTCACAAGTCCCTAACTGTCAACCTGAGAAATCTAAACAACTCTCAATGTTAGCCCAAATGCATACAGTAGAGATATTCAGTTAATTTCATGCCTATTTTGTACTGGAAGGGAACAAAAACAATTAATGGGTTAATTAACAGCCAAGCTAGGTGACGTTAACAACCAAACGCTCCCTTAACTCATATTTTCTTTATTTATGATTTACATTCGTCACATTTACTTCCTTTCATTCACATTCTAGAAGTATAAACTATCGAGATTGCCTAACACCAAAACTATCACCGTCTTAGTGAGTTTCTTAACAATAGAACTAACACTATTACTATCACCTTCCTAGTGAGTTTCTTATCAGTAAAGTGAGTCCAAACATACAACGCAACACAACCCTTTACAAGAAACAAACACGATGTTGTCACACTGACCAAGACTAGATAAGATCAATTTGCACACCCTCCTGACTGGGTTTGGACTTGAGATGCGTTTGTGTTCAAAGACTCGAGGTTCACGTCAACCATATCCTCTTGCTCAGCAGATGAAAGTGTCTCCATCCTTGGCAGGGCAGACGCAATCTTTCAAAACAGAGACTGAATGACATAACAATATAAGGAGAAAGAACCGACGACTTAAAGCCCAACTGACAACTTACTTACCTTTATATTGAAAGCCCGCTTTTCCGTTGTTTTCAATGAACATCACGTTCATCTCACGAGATTTAAACTCACCTTCTTCTATTCAGACTTGCCTATAAGAAAGCTAAAATTTAATGAATCAAAAGCAATCTTTTCTAGTCAAATCCTGTCACACAAAATGATCACCTCTTGCCAATAGGGATGGCAATGGGTCGGGTTGGGTCGGGTTTTGCGAAACCCACATCCAAACCCATGGGTTTATCCATGAAAAAAATCCGGGGTAAAACCAACTGGGTTTGAAAAACTCAAACCCAACCCAACCCGCTGGGTATCCGCAGGTTTATGGGTACCCATGGGTTTTTGTCGTAAAAAATTTACAATAACAAGTTCCTATCAAAATTAAAGTCAAATATCAATCTCTCAATACAAATTATCCATATATAGAACACCATTCTAGAAAATTCAAGCAAATCA